GAGATCGGTGAACCCTAAGTTTTTTTCCGCTCTAAATGTTTATGTTATCATATTCTGGCATCATGCTTAATTTAAAGAATATAATTTTATTGAACCTCCTTAATTTTGCGTGTATGTGTTTATAATACTGCACGTTTGTTGGATAATCGTGACGTTTATATACATACAATGTACTTTTTGAATACATGGCTGCCGTCGATTTATGAAATTATCTCATTTTTTTCTAACAAAAAATGCTTGATGTATTATGAGTTCGTTATAAATAAATCCAACAGGTTATATGGTCTATATAAACGGTTGTTCGCAATATTAATAGCTATCGAAATTCTTTATTATACTTGTACATGTGTGTAAAAATCAGAAAATAAAGTTACAAATAAACCAAAAAGCTCTATAATTAAATAAACGTCTCGATTTTTCAATGAAAAATTACGTTACAAACATGCAGTATTATAAAGTTTATATATTTATGTACACGACTGTTGTTTATTTAATAAGAAATTGTATGTTTATGTATTATATTTTCAAACAACCGTTTATATACGGCCACATTGTATAGCCTTTCAACTAATATAATACTCTCGAAAATGCCATGAATATGTGTTAACTTTATGTTTTTATAACTCATATGCCGTAATGCAAAAATATATGCTTATATATATATACCTGCCATGCCGCTTTGAATTAGTCAGAAATCGGCATTGGTTATAAGGTATAACACGTGATCACGTGTAACATGTAAATGTCTTACACATGTGATATTTTGGCTGGATTCATCACATTTGTGGAATTCCCTGCACGTCGCTAAATTTCCTTTCGGTGGTGCATCAAGGTCAAATATTATGACTCTTAGTTTTCGCCGTTTCCTCTACGGTCCAGGTTGTCAAATGCATGATCCCTAATATGAACTTGGAAATACAAATATGATAAAGGGCACTATATATGTTCTTACTTTCCTGCGCTTTTCAACTGGAATGGTGCATTCAAACTCAAAAATACTTGATACTTAGTAATAACCCGCAATAAATAGCGGATTATTCTATGATAATTATGGCTGAAGTAATTTTCAATGGAAGGAAATGAAAGCGGACCTCGGACATATTTTGTACAAGAGTATATATAATAATTAATATCGTTTTAAACATCAAATAAACACGTTTCTCAGATGTCAAAGTAAGAAAAGGGCTGTACTCAATTGAAAAGTGCCTTACGTCAAGTTAAATTCTTAAAATATACAAACATGGTATCGGGCCCACCGCACTGCGTTGCAATCGAATCCACCGCCGTCTGCGACGAAAATATTTTTAGTCATTTATTTTATAAACAGGCAATAATAATTTCCCAATTTTCCAAATTATGGTTAATTTGTGAAAGTATCATTGATTCGATGTGATGCCGATGTATTATGGGGTCGTTTTGCACACATTTGTATGTGTTTTAATCAAAATTAGGCAAAAGTGGCGTCCCCTCATCAAACTGTACAGAAGTGTTTGCATAAACGGCAATGAATTGCATCGTGCCCGTGTAATAGGTTGAAAAAGTACATATGTGGACTCCAGTCTCACTGAGTGTTTCCAGTAAAACATTAAAACATAAAACAAAATTCAGTCATACACTTACCGAAAACAACAAACGGCCATATTTTATCCACCGCTTCTGCGACGAATACTCCACCGTCGCTGCGGTAGATCCACCGCTTCTGCGAAAGCTATGGCCAGTGTGAGAACGGGGTATCACTTTATGCCTATATAATTTTTTTGCTCAAGTGTTTTTTTCCGAAGAGCTACATGTGAAATTGCTGCCAAATATACATAGGTAAAAACTATTTCAAAGCTGCATGCATTCATATAAATATATTTTAAAAAATTCAAACTTGATTGAATAAAATTTAAAATTCAAGGATAGCCCAAACTTGTTAATTATAAAAAAATATATATACAGAATATTATGTTGTAGTAGCTCTCTAGGGCTTTGTATTTTGCTACGAGCAGCGGTGGGAAATTGATATCTTGCGAGACCAAAGGGCGAGCTAGATATCAATTTCCAACATTGCAAGTCGAAAACTGCATAGCCTCAGAAAGCTACTACAACATAATTTTCCTTTTATAATATACCTTTTCGTTTGAAGTATAAATGATTTTCATTATACTACACTTATATAAGAAATTTCAGAAAAAGAAATGTAGCTGTCAAGAAATAAATTATGACTGACAGATGAATACCTAATTTGTGCAAAACCAGCCACACCTTTCATTATTTTGGTTGCCGTTTCCATATACTACGTTATACACAGCTAAGATCAGAACCAACGTAAAAAATAGTCCAGTCCTTTCATATATGGTACTGTATTTGTCTCTAACATAATACAGAATTTTCTAAACGTTAAAGCCTATTTGCGCTTCAAGATTATCCTGTGTTTTAGGAAGAAAATTTATAGGTATATAATAAATGCTGTCATTGACATTTCTTATGTTTATATTTATTATATGTATTTCTTGCAATCCTATTTATAGCTACAAATTCTATGAATTAAAATAGAAAATGAAGATAGCATGCAGACGGTGTTGATATTGTGGGATAAAAATTTAAAGATCATTGGAAATCATCAGAGTAACCGAACACTCGATCTGAAAAATGACCGAGTACTCGAGTATTGATTTTAGTATTTGTTGCCATCCCTAAAAAAATAAAGTACTTGACAAGATCAACTAACATCTAAATAAAAAACTTTGAAAACAGAATCTTTGAAACCTCGACCAAATTCAAACTTAAACTGCTTACTCCTAAGATGTATCTATATTATTTTCAAAGTGAAAGGGACATAACTATGCCAAAAAATCATCAAACCATGACTAAATTCCAACTTGACCTGCCCATTCCTTTGACATATCCATATGTCAAATTTAAGTTGAATATGTAACACTGTTGGGTAGATAATGAACAGAAACTGTAAATTTCATATTATTTTCAAAGTGAAAGGGGCATTACTCTGCCAAAAATCATTGAACCATGACCAAATTCGAACTTGGCCTGGGCATTCCAAAAACATATCCATATGTCAAATTTGAGTTGAATGTGTTGTACCGTTGGGGAGAGAATAAACAGAAACTGAAAATTTCATATTACTTTCAAAGTGAAAGGGGCATAACTCTGCCAAAAATCATTGAACCATGACCAAATTCAAACTTGACCTGTATTTTTTTTCATGATATATCCATATGAATGTGTTGTACCTTAGGGGAGATAATGAACGGAAACTGAAAATTTCATATTATTTTCGAAGTAAAAGGGGCATTACTCTGCCAAAAAATCATTGAACCATGACCAAATTCAAACTTGACCTGTATTTTCTCATGACATATCCATATGTCAAGTTTGAGTTGAATGTGTTGTACCGTTGGGGAGATAATGAACGGAAACTGAAAATTTCATATTATTTTCAAACTAAAAGGGGCATAACTCTGCCAAAAATCATCGAATCATGACCAAATTCGAACTTGACCTGTATTTTCTCATGACATATCCATATGTCAAGTTTGAGTTGAATAAGTTGTACCGTTGGGGAGATAATGAACGGAAACTGAAATTTCATATTATTTTCAAAGTAAAAGGGGCATAACTCTGCCAAAAATCATCGAAACATGACCAAATTCGAACTTGACCTGTATTTTCTCATGACATATCCATATGTCAAATTTGAGTTGAATGTGTGCAACCGTTCTTAAGATAATGAACGGAAACTGATGATGACGGAATGACAGAATGACGGAAGGATGGAAGGACGGAATGACGGAACAGGGTAACACTATATGCCCCGGCCATTACATGGCGGGGGCATAAAAATGCGCGACCAATGCCAGAGCTCAACCCCTCTGTGCATTATTTCACAAACGAGCATCTGAGTAGAACCACCGCCTTTTTTTAAAGCTAGCTGGATTGCTTTCTCACATTAAAGAATCCATATTAAATATAATAGAACATTGATAATTGCTACACAGTCTCTTTGTAAACATAAAATAAGCATGTTTTGTGTTTACATAAAGTAGCTATGTAATGTTAAAACACCACACGCTATAGGTGGTCACAATATAAATATATAGTGTTGTTAGGAAACTGACAGTTTTTTTAAGAAAGGACCAAATTTTTTTGTCTCGTAAGAAGGAACATGGCTTCCAATGCATAGTTAATTCATTATTTCATTCAAATTAGACATACATGTATTCAAAAAGAATTGCATAGAATTCAATAAATTTTCATGATTAAAATATTTTACTGATGAGCATAGTATATCTTTAAAGGTAAGTGGTATAGGTACATTACTTTGACTATGGACACCCCAATTAAATCTATTTATTTGCTTAGTAACACAACTTTTCAAAGTCATATAAATTTGTAAATGTGAGTGATTCTGATAATCTATATACAGCTAAGTCAAGATGAGATGATTAGATTTTACTGACTGCTTACTACATGAAGTCACTATTTCAATGTCAAATGCCTTGAGGTGAAAGGAATGAAAACTTGAATTTCAAAATACAATTTAAGTGAATTACATGTCACAAATGAGCCGTGTCATGACAAAACCAACATAATGGGTTTGCGACCAGCATGGATCCCGACCAGCTTGCGCATCCGCGCAGTCTGATCAGGATCCATGCTGTTCGCTTACAAACCCTATTACAAGTAGAGAAACTGATAGCGAACAGTATGGATCCTGATCAGACTGCGCAGATGCTCAGGCTGGTCTGGATCCATGCTGGTCGCAAACCCATTATGTTGGTTTTGTCATGACACGGCTAAAATGTTTTTGCTTTCGACTTTGTTCCTAAATTAACAACAGATTGCATGATGAAATGATATTGAAATAATTAATATATATTTGGCTCTTAGTGCCAAGCTTACTGATTTTAAATAAGCCTTGAGTCCTGTGTTGGCCTTTAAACATGTCAAACATTTAGAAAGTATTTATTAAGGAAAAGTGTATACAAATAATCATGTACCTCTTCATTATATGCCCATGACATTGAAAAAACATTGTGTCATCTGTTTACTTCAAGGTTAGTCACATTGACAGTATCACATTTTAGACTTTATCTCTCTTGATGCATTCTCAAAATGGGTCCTCTTAATTTCACATTCATCAATCTGACAAAAACCTCCTGAAAAAGAAAAGTTAGAAACATATGCCACTAATTATGTCAGTTTAAATGTCAAATAAATACTTTGTTAAAATTGTAAATGTACAAAGATTTTCAAACCATGAACATTTCCTTTTTAACTTTCTAACATATATAATGTATGGTCTTACTTGAAGAAAATGTTTGCCCGGAACTGAACACTACCAATTTACCATCTTTTTGGTACCACTGAAAATAGATAGTAAAGGCCTTAATCTTTTTATTCTAAAATAACAGTTAAATAACATCTTAAGAAATTATGACTAATAAGCATGTTAAAAAAGTGAGAAGAGGCAATTTTTTGAGTCATTCCAAACAGAACTTATGTAGAAATGACTGACCAATACAGTTAATTCATATGTACTATTGAGCAAATGTTATTTACACAATTTATGGAAATTGTAACTAATTATGAATTCAATATTTATCACTCCACTTAGTGTGAAATAATTTATTCAAAATACTTGCATTCAAGTATGATATAAAATGTATAAAGGTTTATGGTCAGAAGAGTAAGATTCTAGTGTACCAAATTTTTGCACTTTATTCATAGGCAATCCGCAATAAATATGATCAAGACAGCTGCCATAAGATAATCAGTAGTTACTGAATCAATGAGTTGAACTGAACTGAGTACTTCCTGTATAATTTTAGCAACTGGTTTGTTTTCAGTATAATCATAATTGAAATCTCCCATTGAAATAAGCTTTTTTAAAATTACAGTCACTTTAAACTCTTTTGAAACAATTTCCAAAATATTGAATAGAAACCCTGAAAAATTTGCAACAGTAGCACACCTTGGAGGACAATAAACAAATCCAAGTAAACACAGTAAAGCACATTCAATGTCAGAATGAGTAAAACAAGTAAAATGACAGACATTAATATTTTCCTTGTAATAAATTGCTATCCCATGTGAGGCCTAACCCAAATTGGAAGACAATACACGAAAACCATCTATGCTGTACTGCTCAGATAAAGGACCAGTTAATCTAGTTTCTACTTGCTGGCGTAGTGAGCGCCCTACACGGAAACCCTTAGTTGGTTGGTGTGTGTGGGATACTGGTGTATATTCAGTGTTTTTTTTGGTTAAATGATGGTATTTTATAACACAAAAGTTCAGTGTTGATGTTATTTTAATTAATTTTTTATAGTTAATTGTAAGTTTTTAAATACAAAATAATTATATAGTTTACATATATATTTTTACAGCTAGTACCTGAATTTTGCTTAAGTTAATTTTACTTCTTTATTTTTTAAGTTAAGACTTGATGTTATACGTTTAAAATTTTAGATAAGACTTAAGATGTTGTATGTTTCCAAATTAAAATTAGACTATTAGAGGTTTTAAGTTTTGAAATTATTAATGTTTTTATGATTAATTTTCTAAAAGCATTTTGACGAGGAAATGCTATGTTACACATGACCTGTTTTTACCTTAATGGCCTGTATAATTATGTTTCACAGCTTCTCAGCAAACAACCAACTGTGCCACAATTGAAATCTAACAAACAAGCCTTTAATCACACACCTGAAATAAAAACTTTTCCTAATTAATACAATATTTCTTTTAATTTATTACATTCTTCAATGAAACATTAAGAAATATTGATAAAGTAAAATGTTCATTTTCATTTCCTGTATTTTCAATGTAAATATTCATTTTTCATTGCATATTTTCACAAGTGTCTCCTAAATGTAGCCTACACACAATAGACTGTAAAGAATAATAGGGCAATTTCTTTATAATTTCAAGTATTTATAGTCGAAAACAGTCCTTTTTTAAAGGCATATATATGGGTAAGTGGAATGTTGCATGTCCAGATATGATTGACTAACAATTGTAAAAGTGAGTAATAATTGTCGGAATAGCTCAATCGGTAGAGAACATAGCTCAAGGTTACCAGATTTCAAAAAGGTTTTTATTAATTTTGTTCTGACATGTCAGGAACAACTTGATATTTAAATGTGTTTTTCATTTGATTGATTTTTGTTACCTATCTTACTTTTTCATTGAAGTATCTTTCTCTTCTTAAAAGTTATGCCCAAATCTCATTTCTTTCTCTTTTTTTTTAAGTTCTTTTCATGAATTTATGAATATTTTCAACAGATTTTGAAAGAATCAAAATACAACATTGTTAAGCATATATAACTGTTGTCAGGAAATAAGTTATGTTTCATCAAAAATAAGCTTGAATAGAAAATAGAACAGTTTCCACCTGTAGTTTGGAACCCACTAACTGAATTAACTTTTATATCAATATTATGCAGCCTTAAACTTACTTCACTACTAAGTTAAATGATTTGTTATCTCAATCAATGTAATTACATGTAGTATAAGTTTTATGGTAATAATGTGGTTAATCACTTGCAGATAATCAAGGCTCGAAAAATCCACTTGTCCGCTCATAAATTATTAATACGAGTAAAAATGACTCCGGACAAGTTAATCTCCCAGAAATGCCCGTCCTGCAGGACATGTGAAATTCTAGCATAAATAAATCAAATTTCTATTCAATTCTTTTGAAACCATTTTTCAAGTTTCACTAGTAAGACAGAGCACAAAATATTTCCTGTGTGTTTGATGGACAAAACTGATGTTGATTTGTTGAATGCAACGCTTAATTCTGTCTGATTCTATTTTGTAAAAACTTACTAAAAGCTCGTGCTGCGATTCCATTATGTTCCACAAAATATTTTAAAGTCACAATGCAATATTTGGCAAATGTTTGGCCAGAAAGAAGTTAAACAGTGTCTTCAAAAAAGAAAAATTTTCTTCAAAAAAGAAAAATGAGTCAGAACATGTAGGAAATCTATATTTTTTAAGCATTGTTGTTGTTGTTTTTCGTTTTTTTTTTTAATCCCTGATATATTATTTGTAGTATTTGTAACTATTATCTATTCTATTTGTAATAGAGCAGCATTTTACCCTTATAAAACTATTTACGTTCCCAATTAAAAAAAGACAGCAAATTTTCAAATGTTTTATTTTTAAAGTCCCAAAATTACTGTCAAAATTCCCATCCAAAATTGGCATATATAAAATGGATGATTTCATATTGATAAGTGATATGTATAACTACATCTGACAGAGCAATATTTGTACCTTAAGTTCATTTTATACTTCTGAACATTATTTATGTACATGTACTCATTTTTTTCACTCCAATAGGAAAATAAATATATTATGCATGGTCAGGGTCTTTCAAATTTGAAAGACCCTGGCATGGTTTAACTTTAAATGTGTATAAATATTATGCATAATTCTCATGTCTCCCTGGATAAAATTCAAAATTAACCATGTGGCATGAATACCTGTCAGTTATGTAGAATCAATTTGAGTCAAAACGCATTTTCCAAAAAAAAATTGTACTGGTAGCGTTTAGATGTTATCCGAAACTAAGCAAATGTCAGGGTTTTTTCGATGCTAATCCCCCAGTGTATATCTAGCTTTAAAATTAATTAATTGCATGGAAAAATGCTCTAAAAGTGTCCGGTTGATGGCCCTGATCCCACGGTGCATATCCATATCGGTACCCTCTTTGCGAAATCGACTGAAACGGTACCTTATTTGCACATGCACAGGTCATTCTCTGCTTAAAACAAACCAGCGATGGATAACAATCCAGTAAAATTTCATTGTAATAAGGAAAAGAGGTATGACACTTAGAAAACATGTAAACCATGGAGCACTAGAATGTTTTATTTATGTGCTGATATGCCATGTGTCCGTCTTTCATGTACTGCAACTTCACAATAAGCTACAAAAAATGACATGTCTTGCCTCTTCCATTACCTCGACATACTTTTTTGGCTGCAATGAGGTAATGGACAAGGCAAGACATGTCGATTTTTTATAGCTTTATTATGAAGTTTTTGCAGTACATGAAAAACGGGCAAATTCACTTTTTTATTATAAAACATCGTATCAAGGAAAATTTATAAAAAAATAATTACTTTGTAAAATATAGGTCATATCCGGTATTTAAAGTCATATCCGCGGATATGACTCATATCCGGTATTAAGACATACCGCAGCGTCAATCGCCGAATATGTTCCTGCAACGATTTGACGACGATTTCGCCACTGATAAATGCAAAACAAGCAAAGTTATTCAACAGTTAGGTAAAAGGGAGATAAGGTTTTTGTAATATAAAACTTACAACTCGTTTTAACACGTGGAACTTCTATATTAACAGCAAAACTTCTCAATCTTTCACGGATGAACTTGTAAACAATGGCGATTGCGGGAAAATGACGCTAGGGCGAAAATAGTTCGTATTCATACACATGCAATGTTTTTCTTAAATTTACACTTATAAATGAAGCATTAGGCCCTATTAGCTTTAAAGTTAGCTGATCTGAAATCCGTATTCCATTACTTGCTAAATTTTTTAGTTCTATGACACTTAATTAACTTGTGACAACATGTAATTTGTACTATATTTATTCAAGTACTTTGGCTATGACTGACCGCTGGCGTAGTAATATTAAAATCGCGTAAAGCAAAAATATACATACAATTTTAAAAGACGATTGCAAAATTTAGTACATAATTGGCCACTCAATTTTAAAATAGATAGGGAACTATGATTTTGGGAGTTACTGCGAAGTTTTGGAACTATTTTGCTTAGCGTAGGTAGGTGACTAATTGTGTTCAAACCATAGTAAATCTGAATTGTCGTTATTCCATTGGGGGCGCATTGCGCAAGCGCCCCCAAAAACGCTAAAACGTGCCGTGATTTATCGCAAGAAACACACTGGCAGTAACAAAAGTTAGCATTAGAACTCTCGGATATCTTTAGAGTTTTCACAAGAACTCCAGGACATTTGTAATATCGGGTATAAATTTGTTAGCGAGGGCTTTATGTTTGCAATTTTGAATTATTGTAATTATACCTAAAACTCGATTTTTAAAAATGAAAATAATCATTTTTGAGAAGATACAAAAGCTTTCCGACAAACTAAGTGACAGTTATCACAAGAACTCCTGACAAGTTATCATAAGAACTCCTTTTCCTTGTAACAGTTCCTCCCCCGTGGTACTGGTACAGATTACATTTTTGTAACAACACTGTGAAGTTCTTACAGTGCTTTCAAATAAGGAAATTCGAGCGCATTATCTGAAAGGAGTTTGTTGCGTGTTGACCCTTACTGTCTCAGAACTATAATACCAACAACAGTATTACATAATAATATGTTTTATTTTATTATATACCTATACATTCTCTCCCTAAAATACACGCAAATATTGAAGCGCAAATACGCTTCAACGGATAGAAATGTCCGTATTATGTTAGTGACAAATACGGTACCATATATGGAAGTGCCGGACTGTTTTTAACGTTGGTTCCGATCTTAGCTTTGTATAACGTTGCATTTGGAAACGGGAACCAAAATTATTAAAGGCGTGGCCAGTTTGCAAGAATTGCGTATTCATCCGTCAGTCATGAATTTATTTCTTGACAACTACATTTCATTTTCTGAATAAAACGAAAAGGTATATAATAAAAGGAAAATTATGTTGTAGTAGCTTTCTGAGATTATGTATTTTTCTACTCGCAACGTTGGAAAATTGATATCTTGCGAGACTGAAGCAATTATTCACCGCTGCTCGTAGCAAAATACAAAGCCTCAGAAAGCTACTACAACATAATATTCCGTATATATCATTCACGTATAATGATATTATGTTTTATTGTATTTGATCAGTGTGATTTCTTATTGATATATATATATCAATCACTTTATTAATGACTTTAAAAATATATTAAAGTGCATTAACTCATCTATCCATATCCAGAAAGGCATAATATCATTTGTCTAACTATTAAAAACAACCTTAAAATATTACCCACAATACACTACAATACAGCAGTTGCACAACCTGAACGCAAAGAATGTAACCCATACATTTTTATATCTTTTACATGCTTTTTAAAAGCTTTTATGAATACTACCTTAATTTACTGTATGTTTATCAACATTCCTACCCTAAATGATTCTTAGTTAATCTACAAAATAAAAACAGATCAGAATCGCCTTTCATCTTAGCCCAACAACTAGACATTATATCGTGTCTGTTTTCGCTATAACAAGCCATGCACCATCTCTTTATTGATCAGGGCTTATGGGGTTTTATCCCAAAAAGCCACAAAACCCGTCCCTTAAATTTAAAAAGAAAGCCTACTATTTTAAAAAATTAACTACCCTTTTATTTAAAACCCGCATTAAAGCCCAATAAAAATGCGCAAATAATTCTTTGTTTTTGATACCACCTTCCTGATAAAGATAACCATACATTTACGCAAAACATCGGCTGTAATTGGTTCTTTCTTCACAGCAGATTTTGGCAATTTTCTTTTTGGTGCTTCAAAAATGATTTTTTTTTAACGAAGAATCTGTTGGTAAATTTCACACTATAAAATATTTTACTAATTGAACTTAATGAATTAGCCGACTGAATTAAAGAACAACGGTATCAAACAAAATGTAACGGCTTCGCTGGCAAGATGTCGTCTTACTTCAATGAATATACGGTAACCCAATTCTAATATCTATCGAAACCCTTTAGTTGATTTTGCCCTGGCCCTCTGTAAAACATCAGGGATTAAGGTCACATTCGTCACTAGTGGCAATTCATCTATTTTATAAACTTTCAATGTTTGCAAATAATCAGAATCGTTAGATTTTGAAACATTGTTCATTTGCTGTTTCACATTTGCCTTATTAAAACAACTAAATCTCTGCAAATATGATTAAGACACAATCACTCCATTGCAGAGACTAATTTATTGATGCTTTACGATTTAAAATTGAGTTGTTGTTGACAGAGACTTAATTAATTGAAAGAATCATGCACAAAAGACAAAAAGACAAAACAAGTGTTCTCATATAACACATGTTTTTAACAACTTTGTCAATGTGTTTCTTACACACAGATACAAATCAATAAATTAGATAAAATATATACTTTGTGTTATGATGATGTAGGTGACGAATTTCATTTTTGTATATATGTCAACAATTTTTTGCTGAAAGATAGAAAGACAAATACAATTTCTATGTTAATCTATCAAATAAGCATAACCTAATATCTTTATACCGAAGTGATATCGGAAGTGATATTTGAAAATATGCTTGTTAACATATAAATAAATATTTGCTATATTCATTTTTGTATGTATTTTTCACATTTCACGAAACTTCCATATACATGTAACATTTTTATTTGTTTGCCTTTCTCCATTTTCTATTTTCATTGTATTTTTGAGCCATTCTTTTTAACTGTATTTACTATAAAATGATGTTTACCCGATTTAAACCTAAGATTAAAGTTTTAAAAATTGACCTAAAAAGAAACAGTATTCGAGTGCGAAGCAGCCGAGTCTTACAGACGTATGATTTACTGCGGAATTACACGATTTTTTTTTGCGAGCCATCAATACAAACACAATTACATAAAAACATTCACATACATAAGCTTTTGACTTCACGATCAAATTTTAAATATCAAGCTTTGTTGCAAAACATTTTCATTTACATATTCCTCAAACGTAAAAACAATGTTTTCATATTTCCTTATAGAAATAATGTACTGTGCATAATTATGTCTGTGGTATGCCGAGATTTCATATAAAACGCATCGGTGTAAGAGCTGTTACATTGCACTGTCATAAAACATCTGAATTGTTCAATATACCCACTTGTTGTCTTTAAGAAACTAGGCAAAAGTTCGATTCGAAAAATAATTATCTTTTTTTAATTTTGTATTTTTCTTTTGAGATGATTTAGATAGTGCTGCGCGGGCAAAAGGCAAGTTTCAAAAACTTAAATAGCCGCCTTTTTGATAGATTTGGTAACGGGCCTTTAATGTCTTATATGCTAAAGTTTTTTGTAAAATTTTGATGTTTTATTTTTTGGTAAATTTTCTTTAATTTAAAAATTTAAATATCGGTTTTTAAACCGGGATTTTAAAAAAAAAAATGTTCAAAGGGATTATGATAAAAAAATTACGAAAAACACTGTCTTTATATATATATAGGACACATGGTGTCGATTCCTGGCACATTACGACATTGACCCGCCATGTCACAGTATAAAACTACCATTCCTTCGTAGCCGTTTTACGCATGTGTATAACCTCGCTTGTTCCGTCAATGAAGAAAAAGAATAAATGACATAACGGTTGTTTTTTTTCCGAAAAAAAAAGGTATATTTATGTACATGTGTTATTCATTATATATGCACAAGTATAAAGTAAATGGCTCCTTTTTATGGATGCTTGGATAAGTTATCATTACCATTCAATTTCAATATTTCACAACATCGTACAATTAGATCATACTGGGTAACATAACATATTTGCTGCGGAACTCGCGGTTATTGTTCCAAGTATCGTACGATTTTTACGATGAGATCTGGCTTTTCCTTTGATAGGCTGAAATAAACCTTACACGTTGACAATTGTGGTATAATGATTATTGATCATATGAAAAACAAGTTCAAACTGTTCCGTGTTACATATATCCTAACTCATGCGGGTTTTGTTATCTATACATATATTTTCGACGAGCCTTGCTTAAAAACTTTTTTATCGAATCTCACAGCGAGTATCACAATGTACCGATTGTCTTTGTGACAAGCTTCCTCGTCTTTGTCCTAAGATCTTCTGTGACTTCAGCGGGGTTATCATAAGCTTCGAGGATTTTTCTTCTACATATGTAAGACAATTATACTAAAATAAAATAATAGCATCCAACTCATATTGTAATTTAGTAAACTGAAAATTAATAAGATTACATGCAACACTAGGAAATACCAAAAACTACCAACATTGGTATATATGATGCTTTATTGAAAATAGATACATGCTGGCGTCAATTCTTTTGTACATGAAAAACAGTAAAACCAAAATTCTAACATATAGAGATCAAGCGTATATATCAGCACAAAACATAACACCAGCTTATAAACACGATTAACGATATACCATACCAAAAACAGAAATAAAAAGAATAATGATTACTTAGTACGGGACGGTTTAGATAGGTACCCCGGATATTCTGTATGCGCTTGCGCAAAAACGTCACAAAGCAGGTTCTACTATCAATTATGATGACCGCAATCATTGAACATTGACTGTTATCACTGGTTACATGTAAATTTCGACAGATTTTGTTTTTATTCGAAAGGCAAAACACTTCTGAGTGAAAAAGTTGTGTTTGAAAACCGACATCAAGGTCTGCTAATCATATGCGATGCAAGCACTTTAAACGATTATATCTGTCCGCTTTTATCTCATTGTGTCTCATAAAACAAATTACCAATCAAAACAGCGTTGAACATAATTTTCGTTATTAGAAACATTATAAACCAAAGTCGATCAAATATTGTTGCTACTGCATCCCAAGTAAGTTTAGTGTCGTCAAAATTGTTGGTTAAATAGTTATCGTCTACCATCTTTTCTTCCATTTTCTCAACTTGCCGGGCTCTAACGGTCCGTAGATCCACTTCGTATCTTGAACTAAGAACGGGCAAAGCGGATTCCTTCACCTTAACAGTTTCTGTAAAGTTTGTGTTCTGCAATAGAAAAAATATATGTGAGAATCATTTTGTAAGCTAAAGAATAGTGTTTTGGATTGTTATGGATATCAAGAATATGTGTGATGAGCTTGCATACTTAATTATGTTTAACTTGGCATATCGAGCATGAATTTAACAAAGGCATACTTTATAAGAAATGCTGACGGATATGAACTATATTGAATAATAATTAAACAGGTCGTTATATTCACGGCAAAAACCGCTTCGCCTCTTTAGTTTAATAGAGAGAACATTAGATTTGTAATAGGGTCGCTTGTTCGATCTTCCTGCACGAAGAAATTTCTCTGTGTCAATTGATCTCAACCATTGTATCTATAATGGTTATTAGTCTGTCATCACTGATCCATAAATGATCGATCACTTGCGGAGAATTCTGTCATTACCGCTCAACATTCCAGGCAACCCTATAAGTTTGAGATTTGACCACCGACATATGTCCAAAAGCATGTAACTATTTTAATCGGCGTAAAATCTAGGAAAACAAACCAACAACTAACTTAAACTATGGATTTTTATACTATGGAATGAAGTAATTCAAATAATTGATATGCGTATAATTTTTATAACCATGGCATAAAGTAATATGATTGAACTAATAATTGATTAATATACTCATAATCATTGTGTGAATTGAATACATCAAAGAAATCAGTATAACTCACAGCATCATCTGGTGCCACCATATTTTTCTTTGGGGAGAGTGTCTTTGAGATCTTCTTGAGATCGTCCGTTGGTATGCTTAACAAAGACAGTCTGTCCGACTCAACAGGCTTATCTGCGATATAAAGTTTATAAAGTTTTACTTAAATGCAAATGTAGTCATTAACATAATATTAAAAATCATTTCCATTGTATTTTCAAGAAACTCATGACAAATGTATCCCCTTACTTGTGAAGTAAAATTCTTTAAACAGCAAACGGAAACAAAATATATTCAAGAGTTAAAGTAATTTATACATTTATTCATTAGATAGACGCTGGGGCGTGGACAGCAGTTTGCATGTTTAAGTACTGTCCATGAACAGGCTCAATCAAACCGAGCCAGCAATATTTTAAATTTTGCTGTTTAAAACTTTCATTAGGGATTCTTTTTCTCTTTATTTTTGCAAATTATATATCACTTATACTAACTGCAATTTCCACCAGGCAAATCGCCAAATTAAATTTTCAAACATCATTCAAAGAAGAAATAAATTCTGAGGGGCTTGCTGCATTAATTGGCAATCGAATTTTCTCGTCTTTAATCAAATATTACTCTTCCCTTTCAAGCATGTATAACAAATGTACCTTTAAAACACATCATTCGTTTCACAATCAATGCTATTTTAGTCACCTTCTCGCCAACAGCCGTGTACTTCTCTGACTTATGATGCATTTTGGCCATTGCTACTGTTATAAACATGCGGAAGAAGTCGATGCATAAATTTCCAATCAAATATATACCTGAAATTAAACGGAATATTTTCCAGTATGTCAATGTCTTTACCTATTAACTTAACTTGTAGATACATTGTAATGATAAAATGTGCAATAACACAATAATTACCTCCCCTCCTCCTCCTCACCACCACAGAATACTCAATTAAAGTTGCTTAACTATGGAATTTGATATTTGAAAATAGCAAGAAACGCATTTTATATCTGATGTAGAAAAAGGTATCTAAAATATTAAGAGAAAGAATAATTGGTCAATACATAGTAAAATGAATTATGTTGTTTTCTATTTAGCTATGTATCTTTGACATTAACTATTATTTTTAATCATGACTATAACGACTTTAGTTTTGGCTGAACTGAAAAGGCGTGAAACCCAAAAAATATTCGGCCATGAAATAAGAGGCAAAACTGATTTATTTTAATGACAAATAAACTAATGAAAAATATTACCAAGGATAGCAGTTGTTGTTGCTATGTTTGGAATCTGCTGTATGAAAATGGTGAGAAGAATCGAGTTAATGACCAGAACGAGAAATCCTGACACGACCCTTTCTCCAGTCTGAAATGAATCGACAGCGAAGTGGTATTAGAGTTTTTTTGTCTACTATAAAACATAAAAAGATTGCCATAACCTTCTAACAATTAAAGCGTAATAAAACGTAATCGTCAAGGTATCATATTTTGGCAGCCATATTTTTGTTTCAAATTTGTTGCAAATTTTGATAAGGCCCAATTTTGAGACATATACATGGCATTATATACAATGTCATGTATTAGATAGAGGTCAATGATAAATTTTTGACACAGTAATATCCATTTTAAAGTGCGTGTCCGTGCTGTTCGGCCAAAATGTTATGTTTTCGGAAAGTTTTTCAACGAAGGGAAAAGAGATAAAATTACGCAATATACGGACACATTTACAATCACTTACTTGTTTAATTACGTAGCGTTCATTTAACGATGACTCGCTTTACATGACGTAACATCCCGTAATCACGTGCTCTAGAACACGAGATTATGTTACACACCACCAAATTACGTTTTCATGAAGTTGAAGTACCTCTTCCTTGTGCCCATTCGTTACAATAACCTAAAATATCAGTTTGCTGTCGGGCACCATTTAAATGCTGGCAAAAGTGTCATTAGTTGAATGAACTTGTCCATCTTTCAATCTTGACAAAACCATTCGTCATATTTCGGTAACATTTCAAAATATGTAGTGACTGATTGTGCCACCTGATCTTGCACTTGCCACATGGTAGAAGAGGGGTAAATATTAAAATTTGAATAAAGTGTGATCCCTCGGAAGCACTTATCACAATAAAATTACATGAACATTGCAGACTCGGTTTGATTGAGTCTGTACATAAAAGATAATTAATAGCATCGGCTTGAGCCGTACCCAATTTACAACACTTACAACTGTCGGAATCAATGATGCCGAAGTAAGAGCAAAATAAAATACAACAACACTGAGTCGTAGTACAATACAACTTTTTACAGCTGTCACACAGCACTTGACACCAGCTGTTGTAAAGTATAAACATCTGGACAAAGTGTGATCCCCCAGAAGCATAAATCTCAACAAAATTGCATGAAAATTGCAGACTCGGTTTGACTGAGCTGTACATGAGAGGTAATGAAAAAGTGCAACAGTAGCATGATTTACTAAGAGTTCATGTGACTCTAGCACAACCAGATTACTTGTTTTTCCAAGTCGATGCTTGGAGAGTAGGACAACATTTACTAGCATAAATCATGTTAAAACACCATCAGAATTCAGTTTTAATGCTATGCATTGTTTTTCAGGTTTACGTTACCTTCGGATAAAACTACATTATATTACACAGCAATGTAAATGTAAATAAATGGTATTGTTCATATTTACAATTTCTGCAAAACAACTGATTATGGAAATAAACTTACCTTCAGTGGTATCAAGTTAGTAACAGTCATGAGGAAGGATGAGAGAATGATTGGAAACAGTGTTGTAAAGATGTAATTGCCAGGCTTACGGCTCATCTTTATTGTAAACACGATCTTCGAAAAACTTTCAACAACACCTTGCACATCTTCTGTTACAGTAGAAGACTTCGCACTGGAACTTATAATTGCCCAAGTTCCGCTCTCTCTGTATAAATATATTATTATTATTATTTGATTATTATTATTATTATTATTATTGTTATTATCATCATCAGTAGCAGTAGCAGTTATAGTGGTAGTAAGTAGTAGTAGCCAGTGGCGGTGGTGGTTGTGGTGGTAGTGGTAGTAGTAGTAATAATAGTGGTAGTGGTGGAGGTGGAAGTAGTTGTAGTAGTAGCAGCAGCAGTAGTATTGGCAGTAGAAGTAGTGGAAGTAGTACTTGTGGTAGTAGTGGTATTGGTAGTAGTAGTAGTGGTAGTGGTGGTGGTGGTGGTGTGGGTGGTAGTAGTAGTTGTTGTAGTAGTAGTAGCAGTAACAGCAGCAGCAGCAGTAGCAGTAGTAGCCAAACAGAAATGTCATTGAAAACCAAAATTTTAGTCAGCATAAAACATACAAAATGCAACTGATTAAGACGTTAGGAAATTGTGTGTGTGAAAGTTGTAAGTTTATACAGAATGGTATCGACATGCAAACAAACTATAGTTAAGGTGATTTATACTTGTTTGTCAAACCAAGTAAAAGTAGTTTAAGTACATTTACGTAATTGGATTCTGGAAATGATTAAAAATATACAGGCAACATGTAAACAAAGGCCAACTAAAGGAGAGACCAGTCATGACCATTAGAGACAATTGGTCTTCAAATTGGGGGCGGGGACTCTGTTGTATTAAATCAATGAACGTATGTTGAAAAATGTTATTTACAGGTTGGTTTTTATTCAATGGTGGTCTTTCACACCAGTTTTACTGTACATTTTAACTAAAATGGTTTTATAACTTTCACTGCATGTATATAACAGAACGGATATCATTGGTTATTTGTTCTTATTCATTTTCCATTAAGATCATAAAATGCCTTCATGTTACATAAAAATACCAGAATGTATCATCATTTCTCTCTAACCTTAGCTCATTCATTAAAACATCATCCCAAAGTAGTTCAAGCTTCATTTCCTTGTCCGGTAGGCCCCAGCTTGTAACCTCTATAGAACATTCCTGATTATCGAAAGGGAAGTAAGTCGCATCTACACTGCAATCAACCTGACGATAAAATAATGTTTGACACAGTTATGAAATAATTTAAATAAGTGAACGGTATGTACTGAACGAAATTTGTTAGTGTTTCGAGTCCAAATAACTTAATAACTTTATCGATATTAAGAAAACCATTTCTTATACGAAATATCTAAATGTTATAAATATAATATCACGCCAAATACTAATGTACGCAGTAACATTTTTACATGACATACATGTACAGACAAAAATTTTATGACGAGTCCCGGCAATATCGTCAGTTCACAGTGTTACAGATCATCAAGAGAATTAACTTTAAATTACTATCCACAGCTTATAAACGTTATATATGTATCCCATTAATCATTTATTACTTTCAATATTTTATCTCATGGATTGTTTCGAGTATTTAATAGTTGCTATGATTCATATATAAATAGAATATAAAGTGTTTGAGTTGCATTCATATAGAGTATTATATGTAATGCATATCTTACATAATGTAAAACTTATAGTAGTTAGTTGAATATTATGATTTATAACTTTCCTATGATATTACCTTTGTCGAAAGTAGTGGTTCCCATGCAACTTTCCCGTTATACCTTATTCTGTAAATCAAGTGATCGTCACTAACAAGACCAACATTTTCATGTCTGAAATATCAAAATTGCCATATTAGACACAATATGTTTTATAGAAAGACTTTTTGCAAAGAGTTCGGGAGAAATCGGTATATTTCGTCACTTACCGTGATTGAGTTATATAAATTAAACGAACATCCGTGTGACTAAAATGTTCCTGAATGATTAATAAATTAAGGCACAATTAAATTTTAGCTTAAGCAAAGTTTGTTTTGATGTTATGTTATGAAATGCCAATTAGTTAAGCTCCAAATTCCAAATAAAACAAATCTTAATACAAGAAGACATATTATGTTAATAGGTGCGTAGTTTTATATTATGAAATATTTACATAAAATTTATTGACAGTAACATTATATTGTTGTCATAATCTCAAGAGAGTTGTAACACAGAATGCATCTGTTATTTAATACAAACGAATAATGTGCGGAATCAGAACAACAAAAATATTATATTGCTATTTTAAGAAAGATGTTAACAGTATAGCAATGGTTTTCTTGCATGCGTTATTCGCTTTTTAAGCAGTATACTAACATACTTCTTTTATACAAAGTTTAA